CATTCATCAGACGATGATTAACTTGCTTATATATTAACTTCTGTTAGAAATACTGTGATTATTGTAAAAGGGCCTGTTTTAAATTCTGTGTTATTGTCAGAAAATAAAGGTGAAAAAAATAGGACTTTTTGTGTAATGTAACTGACTTCTTTACCATTACAGATTTACAATAGTTTTACCTTGAAGATTGATTTTGCTGCTAACAAAAATTATATATAGAAGAGTTAAACCTGAACTGTATATATCAATGTTTCTTCATTTTTTCTGATCTGCATTCATTTTACTCCCAACTCTCAGCACATCTATTCCAGTAAAATTCTGGCTTCAAAGAATAAAGTTGTGCATGTATGCATGATTTGTTAAAAAAACCAACTGCACACATAAGAGTCATTGGGTTATAAGTAAGGGTAAACCAGCACAAAAAACTAAGACAGTAGCCATAATGGGTGACGATCCTTCTGATCCTTAAAAACTCTTCATTTTTTCTGATCTGCATTCATTTTACTCCCAACTCTCAGCACATCTATTCCAGTAAAATTCTGGCTTCAAAGAATAAAGTTGTGCATGTATGCATGATTTGTTAAAAAAACCAACTGCACACATAAGAGTCATTGGGTTATAAGTAAGGGTAAACCAGCACAAAAAACTAAGACAGTAGCCATAATGGGTGACGAACATCTGTAGTCAGCCAACAGAAAGTGTTGTAATTTTTCCAAAATCCTTCTGATCCCTAAAAACTCTTCATTTTTTCTAATTGTTTTTGATTGAGTTTCCAATCTTTTCTCACATGTAAATGGGGTAAAATAAGAATACTTCTGATATCAGATTCAACTGCAGGAATTAAATTTCAGATTTCTGTTGCTCTTTCAAAGTTCAGAATTTGCTCAGACTCCAAGAACTTAGATAATCCTCATCCTCACCAGTATTATATTGTATATATTTCCTTGAAAATGTTGGTTTCTTTTTAGAAAATCTGCAAATTTCATTAGTGGTCATTGTACTAATGCAAAGTTCTGTAATTATTTTTACGGGTACCAAAAATTGTGAGATGGGCAGTTATACAAATCAAATAAATAATCAGAAATAATTCAGCCAATGTTTCCATTGTCTTTCAAAGTTTGGACAAATTACTGCTTTATCTAAGAAATTTAGATATACTTTAGTACCAGTGCCATAGATTTCCATTGTTAACTTTTTTATACTCACAACCTGGAGTATTTTTCTGTACTGTTCTCTTTCAGTACAGTTTGTTATTAGAGATCACATTAATGGCACATTGTCTTGGTATGTTTAAAAAGTTGAAGGTATTTGTCATATGGAGACTTTGGAACATTTTTAACCAATCTGCCCTTGAAGTGCAGCCAAGAACTTTCTTCATACATTTTGGAGAACATGTGAAAGATCCCGATTGGTGGAGAGATGGGGCAATGCATTTGGTCCCTCTTTTGTTGTCCTGCGTATCTTCCCCAGCAGCGTTGGGGTGGGGGCGGAATGGCTCAAAATCGCCAATGTGCCAAATAGAGCATTATAATGCAAGCTCCACCCTATTTCTATTTTCATCAATGTTGCATGCTCATTCAAAGGGACCAGGGCTTGCAGTATAATGGCTCAATTATCTTGTTGATTTTCATGCACACACAATGCTGGGAAAGACATGAGAGACAATAAGGCAGAAACAAAATGCCTAGTACACATACCATATGCTATGGTCACTGCTGTTCTTTCTACCTCAGTTTCAGGCCCAGATCGAAGAATAACCCAGATGGATCAAAGTAATCTGTTCCAGCACTCTGGCAGTCTTGATTATTCAGAAGATCTGGAAAAGTAACAAGCAGAATCTTTCTTCATTATGTAGAAAGATCTAGTTTCTTGACTTACTGAAATTTGCAGTAATGCATTGCATTGAAGGATAACACTGTAAATCTAAGCAACATGATACATAGCAACTTTCAAGGGTTTCATTTCTGCTTTCTCCCAAAAAGCAACTTTTATAAGTTAAGAGCCGAGGTGGCGCAGTGGTTAAATGCAGCACTGCAGNTTTATTAGATTTTTTTCTTTGTCCTCTTTTTGTTCTTCAGAAATATATTGTTCATGTTCTGGTGGGCTTCAAATTGAATGCCATGGAACTTGGTTAAAAAGCTGTGCTTATTTCATATTCTTAAAGGATGAAGTGCGAGTCCTTTGACGGCAGCAATAAATATTGTCCAATTAGTGAAAAATGCACTAGGAGATGATATTAATATAGATCTTTTGTAACTAATTCCATATGGGAGTTTTGAACAATATGCCTTATGTTTCTCATCTCTTAGCACTGACAATTATATTATCATCTATGATGACTTTTTAAAGGTTTGCAATATGCTTCTATCATTAACTTTAATTTCAAGTTTAAAATATCACTTCCTTTTCCCCAAATTATGGTGGAATCCTACATATATTTTAAAGGATTTTTTTAAAAAAAATATTGCTTGTTAGAAGTGGCTAACTTTGCCATAAAGATTACATATTTTCATCTCTCATTTGGTGCACAGATCATAATTCTATTGTGGTGGTCCAGAATCATGTACACATACTGTTAAGGCTGATGCTCAGAAATAAACTCACAAGGATTTAGGACCGTATTTTGTGACTATCTCTCTCAAAGAAAGTGACGCATTGATTTCAATACACAATGCGCTATTTAATTAAGGCATGGGATTAGAATCAGAAATAGCATTTTCTATTGAATGCTATTTATTTTAAGATGCCGTTCATGAAATAGTTTCACATCCTAAGTTGTGATAATAAGTCTGTGAATGTGCAGAAGAGGGATAGCAATCCATGAATCAAAGAGCACATACTACTTCTAACACTACTGCTAAATCATGGCAACAAAATACAGCAAAACTCAAAAACACATTTTCTCTGACCATTACAGGTTTCGCAGCAAAAAAGAAAGAAAAAGTTTTCCTTCTTTAATGTTTACCACAAAATTCTTTGAGTTCGTGCAACTATCACGACAGCTCTGGTGCTAATAGTTTGTTGAATTAATGTGTCTTCACAGAAATCTGAAGCAGAAGGATAACCCAGTGATAATATGTATATCCCAGCTCCATTTTGTGTCTACTGAAGCCTCCTCAAATTATGCTGATTAAATTCAGCAGTAAATAAACATGTTTGTAGCTTGAACTATTAGTAGGCTTGTGAACTATCTTATAGCACATCTGTTTTGAGTCATTTTTCTCTTACACACACAGACCCAAACCAGAGTTAAAGGGTTCAGAAAGAAAGCTAAAGGTTTCTTCAACACCATTGTTGCCCTGCTTCCTCACAAAGGTTTAAAACCTTTTTTTAATCACCCCAACTGCTAAAAGATTACTCACTCCTGATCTATAGGATTTGCTTATATTTCTACTTCTAAATGAAGGGAAATGGAGGTTTTAACATTGATGAGTTGGCGAGTGGAGAAGTCAATGTATATTTTTTAAGTTTTCAAAAAATAAGAGAGAAATTTGAAAAGCAGCAGATCAGACAATGTTTTAGTTTTATTGTCTGCTTTGCTGTTTTTTTCTTTTCTCTCCCTCCCTAATAGAATTTCTGAGATGGGACAGACACTTGATTTTTCGGGTCTGTCAAAAAAAAAACTTTGAGTTTAACTTTTGTCTCTTGAGCAGTGGCTGTCTGTTGCAGAGAAAGCCTTTTATAAAATAGAGAGATTGAAATCAGTCCTTTTGTATGTGTAAGTGTAGGTAATTATACTTTAAAGAGAACTTGCTTTGTACATTTTAATTTTTATAAAGAAACGAGCAGTTATCTCTCTGACACCTTATTAAATGTATAATTAACCTTATGATCCCTGCCTCACTTGTGAATGCTTGGCAGAATAATTGGAGAAGAATAGTCTTTCCCCCTTTCTTTCTTTTACAGTCCTAAATCTCTTTTCTGTGGGTTGTTAAGCCATTTCTTCATTTTCTTCTCCCTTTGCAGCAAACATAATGTTTATAATGCCAAGAATAGCATTTGCCAGAAAAAGAAGAAAAAATAGCTCTTTGAATCCCATGTGGGTGTCTTTCTCCAGGTTTATAATAACTGGTTGACCATTAAGGCCTTTAGTAATAATATATTATTGGCTATTGTGAACTTTTCTAATTGAAAGTTTTCACCTTAGGTGTGTTTTATTTATCAAGATATTACAGTTACTTTGCTCATTTAATTTTCTTTCTTTTTCTCTCCCCCCCCCTTTTTTTTTCTTTCAAGAGAAACAAAGCAATAAGTGAACAAAAGAATTCTATCATAGCTTTTATTATACAGAAATCCAGGACCAAAGGAGAGGTATATAAACTTTTTTTAAAAAAATGAATGTAATTAGTATATTCTTTCTAGCATCCTTACTTAATTGTGTTCTGATATCAGCATTTGCATTGTTAAACATTCTCACAGGTACATTAAGATTGTATTTTCTCAATCCAAGAAGAGAAAAGAAAAGGGGATATTCCAATTTAATGTAAACAATGAACATCTTACCTCCTTTTGATTCTAAAGTGATTAAACAGGCATGATTTACAACTTAAATCACTGTATCTTAGGGACAAAGCATGTAAATTGTATGCAGAGTGCCCCAGATTAAATCCCTAGCAGATCGATTTTGGAGAAATCTGGGAAACCCTGGAGAACTGCTTATAATAAACTATTACAATGATACAAGGTAGTTTCCTATATTTTTATCTCTTGGTCTCTCTAATAAGCTGTCCACATTGTATTTTTTCCTGCTGAAAGCATCTCTGGATTCAAACTGTAGCACTTTTGTTCTTCTTTAGCCCAAAATCTGTATGAAAGATACTTCACTAATATTCTGTGCCTGTAATTTTTCCAGAGCAAAAAGATCAGGACTTTACAGGACCTGATACCTGATTTCAAAGATCAAGACCAACTGTTCCACTACCTCCTGAAAAGCTACTGTAAGATTTAATGTTTAGGTTTTTTACATTTTGTGTACATTTTAATGCATTTTAATGATTACCCTTTGATTCAAATAATATCAGCAATTTGATAATGGTTTTTTTCCCCACTGTAAAGCATTAGAATTCTTTGCTATCTCAAGTATTACTTATTAATATTCCATTTCTAAACACACATACAAGATGAGATGTTTTCAGAAATATTGGATGTTATTATGTCTACGGAGATTCTCGGTTATCCAGGTCATGGTTGTCCCAAAGGTGTTTTTTCAAGAGGCAGCTGGACTTTCTTGCTTTTTCTTTTAAGACATTTCGCTTCTCATTCTTCAGAGAGCTGAAGAAGCTTCTTGGATGAGAAGGGAAAGGTCTTCAAAGAAAAACCAGAAAGCCCAGTTGCCTCTTGAAAAAGCACTTTGGGGATTGGATGTTATGATATTTTGGCTTTTTTAAAAATGTAGCATCTCCTCATGAAACAGAAATGTGGGTGGGAGCTGAAACCCACTGCATTTGGAAGTAGATCAGGGTTGCTTAAACGCCCCAGAAAGTGAGTTATATAAATCAGACCCCCCGGCAAAGGCAGCAAACCAATAGATAGTCATTCTATTTTCATCGAGACTAATTCTCTACAATTCTGTTCTCAATGCATAGGTGTAGGTGGGCGGTGAGGTAGGAGAAGCTCTTTATATTGTTAGTCTTCCAAGAATAAAGAATTACTAAGAAAATGTCTCAGTTATGCGGTCCATTAAACATAATCTCACTATTCTTTCATACAATAGATACTTCCATTTTAAAGGAATGGGAAGTTAACAATTTCTATTATACCTTTATTAAACCATCACTTTCTGCAGATTCTGAAGCCTCCCACAGTTAGAAAGCAACTCTTCAACTTGCAGCTGTGAGTGGGGAGTTTCTTCCTGGCAAATGGAGGGATCTGAGGCATACAGCTCCGTGGAATAGAAGCTTTTTAGTTAAATAACTCCCTGTTGGAAAAGCAGATACCACGAGTTAAATGAAAATCAAATCAGTTCAGCATAATTTCCCAAAACACTGTTTAGTGTTTCTGTCAGTCATTGCATGAAGAAGCAAAGAAACAACAGTAAATGTTTTGCTGCACAAGCTCAGTAGGAAGGTATCGGAGTTACGGTAGTAGGGTTATATTGGAGGTCAGAGATGCAAAGACACTTCCATAGAGCCTATGTATGGTAAGGGCTCAGTTGCTTGAGGATGAAAGCTTTGGTGTAAAAGCAACCTCAAAGCAGAAAACCACCTTTAGGAATTTATTTTTTGAATGGGAATCATTAACCAGGGTTGTAAATATCTTAATCTCCTAGCAAACTCCAATCTTATCATTATTTAAAAGAATGCAATAACAGTCAGTACCAGTGACACTTTTCTGATTGGCTTGTGTTTCATATTCTGTAGAAGCTTTACTGCAGTTGAGATTAATAACTGTAAGAACAAGGGACTTGCCTTACCTCTTAGCGGTTCCATACCAAAATTAGAGATTTTGCTAAATCAGCTTTAGTAATTAATCAATAAGCAAATTTAATCTGCTGTTTCAAAGCTTTGTTTAATCATGCCAGTTAATCAATTTTCACTCGTAGACCCACTTCAGATTTACAAAATCCAATATTCTTTCACTGGGATAATGAGTGGGTTTACTGTAGAGCACAGGTATCATGTTGCCATCATGTGATATTTCACGATGTTTTTCCCNGCTGGCTGAGGAACTCTGGGAGTTGAAGTCCACAGGTCTTAAAGTTGCCAAGGTTGGAGACCACTGACCTAGGTGATCACCTTTACTAAATGCTGGGCTGCATGTTTCCCAGAGCAGGTTTGGATGGCAAGAGGAGTTTTGACATTGGAGAAGAATCCCAGGTGGTTTCTGTGATAGCTGGGAAATAGAGTTCTTTGATGAGATCTCCTCTCTGCCCACAACGGAGGCAGAATGAAATATATAATCCTACCGGTAATACTGTAGGATTGCGGTGCTGGTAGTTTTAATTCTTTATTGATAACCGATGTTCATTTATTCATTACTCCTGTTTTTGCCTCAACCTTTCAACCTGAAGAGTACTCAAGGCAGCCAATAGACAAAAATAAAAAATCAAATGGAACTATTTGAATATAAAAAGTTTTTAAAACCACAGTTAAAACCGATCATCAGTTCAAGTTGAAAGGTGAAATCACCACTTTTTGATTTATAGCATATTTTTACGATGTGGTTTATAACATAAAAAGTTTAAAACAATAAAATATGCTACAAATTAAAAAGTAGCAAAAATTGATAAACCACCATTAAAAATATTAAAATTACAAGTCTGAACCCTGTTTATAAATTAATTCTTTTTTGCTGCTTTTTAATGTTTTAATTGTAAAGTTCTAATTGCTTTATTGCTGTTTAATGATATAAGCCACCCAGAGTTGCCCAACAGTGAGCTGTGAAACATAAATTAAATAAAGATGGCTGAAACACCAGAATTTGAAGGGCCTGTTTTTTAAAAAATGTGTATACATAACCTTATCAGTCCTCTTACAAAATATAATCAAAAAAGCAAAATCAACATAGAGCTTCATTTATTGGGTTTAATATCAGAAAATTAGGGGTTGGGATACAGAATCTTGAAAACTGGATAAGCAAATAGCCCATCCTTAATTATAATTGTATTTACTAAGATGATGTGTCTGAATTACTTGAACCACTTCTTCCCACAGTTCAAAACTGAAGGAATAGCTTACTTTTTCCCTTTTTAATATGATAAAAAGTCAGGTTGGTGGCCATGATTGTCCAATCAAAGTTTTCTCTAATATGTGATGCAGATGTTGACATTTTTACCATTTCCTATGGGTTACTCCTACATTGCGACATTCATTTACCAGTTATCAGTTATTCAGTTATCAGTTTTGAAATACTCCCTTTTCTTTCCCAGCTTCAATGTTTTCTCTTACAAAGCTTTATATTAATAAGCTTTATTTTCCCCATATTTATTCATACTTATTTATTTGTTTTACAGTGAGTGCCATGGCTGAAAGATTGGCAAATCAGTTTGGAATTTATAAGCCTGTTACAAACCTTTTCCTTCAGTACATAGATCAAGAAAAACTGAATGATGCTGAGCTTCTTCTGCAGGTAAGAATATGCCGGAATCAAACATGAATCTAAAGAAGTGGGGTGTATATAATAAAACATTCCATGGACAAGGCTTTATTGTACACTATATCCAGGTATCACATTACAATTTTTCAGGTACATATTTGTTTTTTTTTTATTAATTGTTTATATTTTTGGAGGCAGATGAAATGATTCTAACTCTCTGGAACAAAGGGACAAGTGGTTTTCGGAATAATGTGATCTCCAGTTTATCCTAAATATGTCACCTTTAGAAATATGGAACCTGGATGTAGCATATTCTGCTTCTTATACACTTGCTGTAAATGGGTCCCTGCCTAAAGAATTAAAAAGACTGTTTTTCTGCAGAGCAGGTGGGAGAGGGACAGCCAAGGCTGTATTTTTGATAAAGGATTTTTTGTCTATGCTTAATGGAAAATTAAGATTAAAAACCTCAGAAAGTGAACATGGTTTACCATTATCCAGCTACTTTTCAAGCAAAAGTGTTTTGTTTTTCAAACAGTGGTTTCCTTAGCTTTTCAATTGCTGAAGTGTTGAAATGAGGGTTTTTTTTTTAAACAATTAATCTGGCATGTTAACTGACAAATGCAGTGAACCATATTCTCTCCCTTTTAGAATTGGCAGTCTTCGGGGAATGGGATGACCATGTTTGCGCTACTTTAACAGGGCTAAATATAGAGCTGAGAAAAATGCAGAACAAACTGAGTGATAAGAGCTGGCACTGGGAATGTACACAAACAGGCTTCAGCAGGCTGACTTTCCCAGCAGGTGGCAGTCAGACAACCACAATGATCCAGCAAATTGTGGGCTTCGTATAAGCTCCCTCTGTCAAACAGAAGCCTGCTTCCAGTATCTGATTTAAAAAACCACTGCTTTATATGCTTGTTCTTGCTTAGATGCTAAATACTTTAAAGGGGACATGGAAAGAAAAACACCCCCTTCTCCTAATCAGAATGTTTTGCGGCATCTGAAGCAATTAGGTAATAGGACTCTGTGGTAAAAGAAGGTTTTCGTCTGTTGCTTGAAAAATTAAAAGAACTTTAGTGCTTGGTCATCATCTGGTTGTTGAAGAGTTTTATTGGCTTTCAATGGACATCATTATGAATAGCTTATCTAGAATGTTACATTTTGTTTAATTTCTGCTCAAGGAAATGGTTTGGATTTGTACATGCAAAATCAGTGAGCAGATTTGGAGTGATGTTCTTAAAACACTTGTTTGTTTGTTTTTTGAAGATGATTGGGTAGTTAGTATCACTGATATGTTTTAGAAGACGCATTTTTATGTCATAAAATTAGAACTGGATTTTTTGTTTTGAGTTTCTATAAATATTCATGTAAAACGTTTTTTTAATTTCATTTAAAATTAATTCAAATATTTCAATGTGTTACATTATCTTACTGGTACCAAGGATATGCCTAATGGCTCTCTGTATATACAGCTTTGCACAAAGTTACTGTAATAGAGCATCATTGGTCAGATTTAACAAAGCAGAATCTCTGGTTTACCATTCTTAGATTGCCAGGGGACCTCTTTACTGTGTTAAGATCGAAAGGAAGAAAGAGCAACCTGTCTTAGCCTCCCTCTCTCAAAATCCCAAATGCTGAGATTGAGGCATCATTTATTAGATTTTTTTCTTTGTCCTCTTTTTGTTCTTCAGAAATATATTATTCATGTTCTGGTGGGCTTCAAATTGAATGCCATGGAACTTGGTTAAAAAGCTGTGCTTATTTCATATTCTTAAAGGATGAAGTGCGAGTCCTTTGACGGCAGCAATAAATATTGTCCAATTAGTGAAAAATGCACTAGGAGATGATATTAATATAGATCTTTTGTAACTAATTCCATATGGGAGTTTTGAACAATATGCCTTATGTTTCTCATCTCTTAGCACTGACAATTATATTATCATCTATGATGACTTTTTAAAGGTTTGCAATATGCTTCTATCATTAACTTTAATTTCAAGTTTAAAATATCACTTCCTTTTCCCCAAATTATGGTGGAATCCTACATATATTTTAAAGGATTTTTTTTTAAAAAAAATATTGCTTGTTAGAAGTGGCTAACTTTGCCATAAAGATTACATATTTTCATCTCTCATTTGGTGCACAGATCATAATTCTATTGTGGTGGTCCAGAATCATGTACACATNTTGACTCAGCCTTCCATCCTTCCGAGGTGGGTAAAATGACCCGGATTGTTGTTGGGGGCGATATGCTGATTCTATAAACCGCTTAGAGAGGGCTGAAAGCCCTATGAAGCAGTATATAAGTCTAACTGCTATTGCTATTGCTATAATCTTCCACACATAACCAAGAAATACAAATTTCTTCATTTTTGCAACGTACTTCCCTTGGAGGTAGAATTGTATAGAACATCTTGGGCCAGGAATTTATGAGAATAAATGAAAGATCACCAGATTTTTCCACTGGGGGATTGCTTCATGAAACCATAGTTTGTTTACATATTTGTTCACCTTGCAATAACATTGCACTTTTCTCTACTATAAATACTATCCTTCATTCTCCATAGGGCCGTGATGGCAAACCTATGGCACATGTGCCGGAAGTGGCATGCAGAGCCATATCTCTGGACACGCAGGCCATCGCCTGTTGCTCTTCCGGGTTCTGGCACGCACACTCGTTCCAGCCAGCTGGTTGTGTGTGTGATGAAGTGCTGGAAACCAGAAACCCTGGCTCTTCCAGGTTTCAGCGCTCCCACACATGCGCACCATGGAGCTGCTCTTCTGGTTTCCGGCGCTCTCATTTCGGTGCCAAGAAGGTTCACCAACATTGCCATAGGGTGTTCAAATCTCATCAATCCTGATAATAGAATTATTTTTTCTTCCTAGTATATTTCTTGCAAGTGCAGTGTCTTTTTTTCAGATAGCCAAATGTTGATCCATTGATTGCAACAGGAATTGAGTAACTGGGTTGTCCACAAGCCAGACATTGTGGGCTGAGAGAGTGACTGGCCAAAGTCACGCAGCTGGTTTTCATGCCAAAGGTGGCACTAGAACTCAATCTTTTGGTTCCTAGCTCAAATTGGCTCTCCACATTGATAATAGAATGATGTGATGAAATTACTCCCATTTCTATGCTTAAATTTTCAGGCAAACAAGAAAGAGCTGTGTAATAAAGCACAACAGGTTTTGCTAATTAGCACTATAATTATTTTTCTCTAGTGCTTATATATATTAAGATAATGACACGTGGCTCCATGTTTGAGTGTTTTGTTTTGCAGAGAAGTTGATTTAAGTGTTTAATGTTATTTTGTAATGAAAGGCATTTCTCCTTTTTTTGGAACTACTCCAGAAAAAATATATATTTCTGTAATTGAATCCTTTCAGCAATCCATTTGGTAGATCATAATTCTTATTCCTACATGTCCTTTAGAAGATCTGCTCTATGCACAGGTGCAAAGTATGTTATAGGAACCAAAGTATATTGAACTATGAAAATAGAGAACTTGTGAATGTTTTAAATAACAAAGGCAAAAACATGGAAGTGTCTGCATTTCACCCAGCTAAAAATCAAGATGACAAATGTCTGTAAAAGAGTAAAATGTAGTTATCCTCAATATTCTTTTGGTCTCTGCTATCACACAGAGTTAATCTGTCAGGGGAAGAAGAATGTCTTTCAGTAAAAAAATAATCATAAAGTAAATGAAGAGGTCATTTGGCCAATGTTGGAAAATCAAATTATTTTATGCATGAACATAAGAGTCACATTGCATCATAATCATCCTTTCTCAATATTAATATGCTCAGTTCCATCCATCTATTTTCCTAAGACCTGATTTCCTTGTGCTTTACATCATACATAGATTGTCCCCTGTAATATTAAAATTGAAGTCCCAAAAGGGCTTTTCAAAAGACAACTGGACTTTCTGGGTTTTTTTCTTTGAAAACATTTCACTTCTCCAAGAAGCTTCTTCAGTTCTAACTGAATGGTGGGGAATGGAATGATTTATATTCTTTGCAGGATTCCTTCCGTTCCCCACCAGTCCTCAGAATTGAAGAAGCTTCTTAGATTAGAAACCAAATGTTTACTTCAAAGGAAAAAAAAACCAAGAAATTCCAGTTGTCTTTTGAAAAGCACCTTTAGGTCAACCATGACCTGGATGATTGAGAATCTCCATACACACTAGAAAAGCCAGCATTATTCACTACCAACAGATTCAGGTTTGCAAACAAATCCCTTGGTTTTATTATGTCACTTGGTATCTTTGAGATTGAATTGGTTGTAAAAAAAAATATTTCTGAGCACAAAGAAAATACTGAAAGCATTTTAAAAGTTCCTTACCAAATGGCTTTCTAGTTTGCTTAATTTTAATACATGCATTTATATTTATTACAATAAATATATGTCCTCCTCCCCAGCAAAATTGATGGAAAGCATGAATGATGGCCAATATTCAGCAAATTTCTAAATGCACCAGAGATGAGTTCATCCTAACTGTTGTGGCTTGTCAGCCGCCTCCCCCCCCCCCTCCAGCAGCTGAATCAGAGGAAGAGGAAGCATGGGAATCAGGGTCAGCATTAAGGCAACCTGAGAGCTCTGAAGGGGAAGAGGGAATGGAGCTGGCAGAGAGAGAGAGAGACAGAGGCGGAGCCTAGGCTGTCCGTCAATCCTCAGATGAATCAACAGCCCCCATGTCTGGAGGTGGTTGATGAAGAAGAGGAGGAACAGCTAGGTCCAGATGCACCGAAGGGCAGAGAAGAGGAGAGCAGTGGAAATCCGTGGGCTGATCCTTGGGAAGGAACAGCCACTGCTGTTAGTAAAGCTCCACTCTAACTCTGGGGATAAAGGCAGGGGGCGGAGATGAATAGATGTGGCAGACAACTATTCATCTTCCGGATGGGCGGACTTGTTAGCCTGCATTGAGAAACTTTTTTCTGGGGCTGCTGACACTCCTAATAAAGGAATCTGTGAGTTAACTTCAGAGAGTTGGTCATGTTTGGAGAGCTGGGTCAGAACACTAACTTTTTATTTGATTCCAAATACAAATACAAAAAAACTATAT